CATGTGACTTGTTGTACGGATGGAGCAACTGGTTGTTGTTTCGCTCTTGCCGCCGCCTTGCCTGCCCGCCTGGCCTTTGTGGGATTGCCTGGGTTGTCGTCGCTTTGGAAATCTGTGTTTATTCGCCACGCTCTCTTTCACTCACTCACACGAAAAGACAAACACTGGGGGAAAAAGTATAGTCTAGTGACAAGAAATCCATGCCTGAAGGCTAAACTACGTCTATAGCTGATAGAGCTAGAGCAGAAAGCATCCTAAAAAGATCCGAAACTTGTAAAGGGGGTTATAGTTGAACAACAGAGTATAACTGGTAGTAGTTTGAAAGGTATTTTAATAAATAATTGAACTTTAGTACATAATTTCCTGAAATATGATCATTATAGAATTTAATGCAGCTCGTTGAGTTGAGTTCAAGATACACAACACTAATGTCAAGTGGATAAAATCCGGATATCTTTCTGAAGGTGATAGGAAATGATTAAAATGTAAATGTTTAGGTCTAGAGAGTTGTTCACATGATTATGGGTCTCCTTGATTAAGACATTAACCTTATATATAGCTACAGACCAGGGAATTTTGGTATAGTAAATAATAATACCTTAATTTCATTACATATAAGAACATTTTGCATATAATGTACAAGGATCTTGAGTTATTATCCTTTGGGTTATCCCTATTTGTTCTGAATGGTTCTAAAAACTATATTGAAAAGTAAAATTTTATAAAAATGTAGTAGTTTATATATTCCATTATATTAAAAGAATACTTATCATATTGTACGAAACTGTTAAAACCTCTAATGATAGGGTTTTAGGTTTCTCCCAGTGCAAATACCGCAGACAGGGAGAGTCAGACGGCCAGACACGCTCTGTAAAGTCATTAACAGATGCTGATTTGATTACAATTGCGCCCCTTTACTCTCTGTTTATCACCCTGGTTTTTGTTTGTTTGTCCGTCTGTGAAATTGTGGCTGTGCCAAAGCCAAAACCAAATGTCTGGGACTGGGGACATATCAATTGCGGACGATTTCCCATATCAATCAGTGGCGCGCAGTGCTGGAGTATCCAAGGGCTAATCAAAACATAATCCAGCCAAAGTCCGATAACGCCCGTCACCACTCGAGTGGCCACTCCGCCTTACATCCCCCATAAGTACACCTGACCATATCAATCAAAATATATATAGTTAGGAACCCGCTATATTATAAATGGGGGTGCTGGGAGGAGGGTAGGTTCTTCTTGTCTTTGTTCATTATGCATGCCTGCCCGCCTGTATTTATGTATGTACGTATTTATTTGCTTAATATTGTTTGGCTGTGGCTCGCTTTTGTTTTGCTTGCGTAGCTGAAAAAGCATGTGATCCCGGCAAGTGCCCCGCCCCCAGCCCCTGCTCCCCTTGCTGGCCCCTCAGAAATAATGAAAATAAAAGCTAAAGCAAAAAATATCTGAATAAACAACGCTGCTGTTGCCTTCTTCGACCGATAAGTCAACTTAGCGGCCTTTCGATAATTGTTTTCGCGCTGATCTCTCCCGTATTTCGTCTTGGCCAGGTCAGCAGCCCAGCCTAGGGCGCCTTGTACCTTCTGGCTTTCAGCCTCTGACTTTCTGGCCCCCCATATGCATAAGCTCACGTAGTCGTAGTCGCAGTCCCCCAGTGATCAGGGCTGCTTACAAAGTCCATTTGGGCGGGCGAACGTTGGCGCACCCTACACAAACAATAGCGGGGTGTTCTGATATCTTTATCAACACGAAAATGTTTTAGGGTATGATATTCAAAATATATTTATTATAAAAAAACATTTCTTCTGCTTGAAAGGTATTTTAATAAAATCTTGTATCCTTAATATTATCATATAGTATTTAAAATTAAAATAAAAAGTAAAATATCATCTTGTATTTTAATATCATCATAAAATATTCAAAATGGTGAAAAATAGAAGATATTATCTTGTATCTTAATATTATTATAAAAAATTTCCTTAGTTTCATAACATTTATTCTCATGTCTTAAGTTCCCTTAAATCTATGCTTTAAATGGTTTTCATGGAAACCGAAGATGGTCAAATAAAAACCTAAAAATAACCTGTGTAATTGCCTTCCCTAGGGCATTTAGCCTTCGACCGAAAACCCTCTGAAGAATGTCTTTAATGTCGTTATTAAATTTTGGCCATATGTCTTTCAACTAATCCATCAAACAATCATTCATCGTTGTCTCTTGACTTTTGCCCAAAATATTTTTTCCTTTCTCTTTTTGATTTTTATTTGTTTTTTGTTTTTTGTTTTTTTTTTTAATTTTTAAACAACATATTAACACATCAGTCTATGACAAGCAACAAATGGTGGCCACATGATGCTCGTCCGACTTTTGGATTCCACTTGGGGTTGTTCGGTTCGGCTTTGGTTCGGTTATGTTCGGTTTTTGGGTGCGCAGCTGGACGAACGAATCGAATGGATGGATCCGAGAAATCATGTGAGCGACGCTCCAATTTGGATGCCCCATGTCGCGGCCCCGAAGTCGCCTCGTTGAGGATCGTTGCTTGTATTATCTGCATGAGTGTTCCAACGTACTGCCCTCGTATATATGTACCTATATCGATTGGCCAGGCGGGCCTTATTATAATGCATATGCGAGTGAGCTCGCCGCTCGTCTCGCTCTGACGGGTGGGCACGGGACCTGGGCTTTTCAGTCCCCGTTCCCAGTTCCGTTCCCCAGGTTCCCAGTTCTCGGGTTCTCGAGTTCCCAGTCGATCGCGAGCGCCTTGAACTTCATTAGCTGACTAGCATCGCGGCCATAAAGATATCGTCGCGTCGTCGGTCCGCGTTAATCGGGGGTCCAACGGTAAATGTTACAGTTCAACTTCTCTAAACTCCAATAGTTAAAAAAAAAATTTTTTTTTTAGCTCAATTCTTTAATTTAAACTTTCAGTTATGCGATTATGAATTTTAAACCCCAATATGGATATTAAAACAGCTTTTTTGTTTACAGAAATAAAATAAGAAAAATAATTAATATAAAAAACACATTATATACACTTGCTTAAAGAGAGGTGTAGTAATTCTTTCATCTCCGTAATTCAATTCGTGACTTCTTTGTTAGTAAATAACGAAATTGTTTACACTTTTGTTTGCGAATAAATCAATAAATATGGGATGTTAACTTGGTTATCAATTTGATCTTGCTATGGAGAGCTACCAAAATAAATATTTTTTTAATGGACATAAGGCTTAAATAAATACAAGTGCTTATTTCGGAGAACTTTAAATTAATTTTGATTTGTTATTATTGTATCATGTGCTAGCAAGCCTAGTCTTTTTTTGTTTTCGAATTTTTAACAAAAAGCTCTTCAACTTGGGCGACTTAAGATCTTACAATAGGCTACATTTTTTCTGTTGTGAAATTATAGATAGGCAAGGTCGAGTTCGAGAAGTACCGTAACCGTAACTAAGGAAATTTCCGGCGAGACAGTTGGCGCTATCGCGAAGCTGCAGGTGGAATTACCCTTTGTCGCATGCATACGCCGCCCTTCAAATCCAAGTAAGCACGGCCAATAAATTGGCCCCGGGGACAACAAAGGGACCGCCCACCGGTCAAGTCTGGTCGTCTGGTCAGTTGTGCCTGCGTACATATATACTATATGTACTATATATCCACTATATCAGTGGTCCCTCGTGACCGACCGGCCCAAAACCAAAAACACCTTCGTAATCGCTGTGCGTGCGGGCTCCCCCCTTCTTATCGCGGGGCTGTAAAGCATTTATTAAGCTCTAAAACTAGATCGCCCACTCCCCCTCCCATCTAAAACCCAAAACCCCACCCCCCAAAAACGCCAAACGACTATCATCAGTTGGGCTAATTGTTAATTATAGCGCTAATTTCACGAAAGGCGCCTTCTCAAAGTTAGCGCTACTTAGACAAGCCATTTATAAAGCCACTAAAAATAAATTAGCTCAAATCTGTTGTACGAGCTTTAAATCGAGTACGCGGCGACTGCCGATTTGTCTGGCATGTGGAGTGGATTTCGAATGGGTTTTTGGCCATTAGCGGGGGCAGAACATCATAGGCGTTGACAGGATCTGTCAAAAAATAATCTACTAAGTACTATTTATTACGTTGTATTTTACTCGCTATCTTACTGCTGTTCTATCTATCATATCATTTTGAGGATGACTTTTTATTAAATCTTTACTTTATACTTAGGTATATTATTAAAAATAAAGATCATTTTTTATATAGATTATAGAATAGATGCCCTACAAATTCATTGAAAACTTTTTGCTGAGATATACATATACCTCATTTGCTAGCGCTACTTAGATCATCCAATTATAGAACCGCCAAAAATAAATTGGTTTAATTTAACATTCAAGATTGCCGTCATGTGACTAGTGACACCTTGACTCCCCCTTAAATTCAGAGAGTTCAAAGTTCAGCATTAGTACGTTTTAGGCGGCCTTATCTTTCGACATTTCGGTTCTGGGTGTAAAAGATTTGTCGACAGTACTCAACGTACCCGCTCTTTTATGGGGATGGGGGCATGAGTAATCGTCACGTGCCAACTGTGGGGTCGCTATATATAGAGCATAGCATTTGCCATTTTATCGACGACAATGAACAGCACTGAATACGAAAGCTGCTCGAGATGTGCGCATTATAATGAATCTCGTCTGCTCTGGGAAACTGTGGGTGGCATTTTGACGACCTTCGATGGGAACTCTAGAATCTTAATTTTAGGCGGTATCGAATAGCAATTAAGGTGTGGTGAATACTAGGTAAATTACGATATATAAGGGGGATTTATGACATGTACAATATAAAAATTGCCTGTTCTTCCACCTTGTTATTTCTTGCAAAATTCAAATATGTCATCAGAAAATCTTCTTACTTAACGAATAATTAAATTTGCTACCTTAAGTAGGAACTGTCTTTTGCTGACGCACCCCATATGACGAATATCGTGTTAATAGAAGTAACCTCTTTATTTTTCACTCTTTGTTTTGCAGTCAGTTCCCCTTCGAGGGCAGCCAGGTGCGAGTTCTGCTCTACAAAGAGGATGACAGCCGGCGACTGCTCTTCGACTCGAATGCCCTGCAAAAGGTGACGCACAGGGACCCATCCGGCACATCCGCATCCGTATCATCCTCATTATCCTCAACGAGTGGCGGTGGAAAGTTCCTCAAAAATGAAAAGTACACCTCGCTGCAGAATGGCAAGATTCAGTCAAAGGCACATTCCAGCAATGGCAGCAACTTCATCGAGGTGTGCGCGGAGTATGGCTATAAGGTGAGTTATCTATTGTAAGACATAACCAACTTAATTTAAAAGCAAATTAACGAGATGGCTGTATCCCTTGATCTCAGTACATATCATTTAGCTTGTATGATGAATAATGGGATGTTAAAAAATTGCAAAGTAAAGGAAATGCATGTATCACAATTTTCTCTTGGATGCAGTCTTTTTTGTGATACAGGTTTAGTTTGAAGAGGCTGAATAATATATGGTTCTACGAAATATCGTTTAGGACTGTACCGAACTCAAATATTTTGTTTTGGTCTAATGTATGTGTTTTTTCCTATCAGCATAACCGACCCTCTGGAGCGGACATCACACCGCTGGGCGAGATGGTGTTTGGCTCGCTGCCGATGTCCTTTTGCGGAACGGCCCTGAAGGTGCACTGGCTGCCGGAGCCGGCGAGGATCCTGTGCTCCCAAGTCTACCTGACGCCCACGAGCAATGGAGGATCTGGATCCGGTCACTCTCCCTACTCCACGCTCTCCACGAACAGTCTGGCGACGCCGCGCACCTCGATATGCAGCGAACACGGCTCCATGGATGGTCTCTCGATGAACTCCTTCTCCATGCCGTTTAGCGTGTGCGTGGGGCGGCAGATGAGCCTGACGCCACCGTTGGATGTTCCGGCGGCGCCGGCGGATCAGCAGTCACTGTCCATACACTCGATAGACTCCAGCGGACCGCGATTCTCCTCCACATATAGCACGGCCACGGATTCGGGCTATTCGGCCAGTGGGAGTGGCAGTGCAGCTGGCGGGGATCAGTGGTCCTATCAGTACTCATCGACGCGCAGCAGTCTGGGTAGCGTCCTCTCCGATCAGTCGGATGCGATGCGCAAGTTAAGCATGGACTCGGCCTGCTACACGGGATCCTCTCCGTACCTGGACGGATTCGCCAGCGATGGCTGCCTGCAGCGAAGAATCTCGCGCAATTTGCGCACCTCCTTTGAGAATGAGCATTCCAAGAACGATTTTATCGGCTTTCTCAGCGACAACTACGCATTCAGTGGCCCGGTGGTGGCGTCAGGAGGAGGAGGCGGACCTGGAGGTGGCAGCGAGGGTGGCGGAATGGCTCCGCCGCAATACAGGAGAGCCAGCTACTGTGCGAATGAGTCGCGGAGTAATCCGGAAATGGGCAGGAGGCAGGCCAACCTGCGAAGGAGGGCGAAGCTCGGGTTGGCCGTGTGCATCTCGATGAGCGAATCCTTCGAGGAGGAGATGGAGCTGTTCTGCAGCGAGCACATCGCCTTGCTGGAATCCATGCTTAGTCGGCTGCGGGCCAGCACGGAGAATGCGTACATAAATCACAAGAACTTTCTGCAGGTAAGGAACACACATACAACTCCTGTCGCTCAAGTAATCAGGAATTTTTGTGTGAACCTCAGATCATGTTCCAGGCCTGGCAGGATACGAAGCAGTGGTTCAGCGATCTCTTCACCGCCCCGCGCATCAAGACGCCCGTCTGGCTGAGCATCACCACCAGCGGCAGCAAGTACTCAAAGAATGTGGCGGAGCGATTCATAAAGGAACTGTGCGATCTGCTCTCATTCGCCGACACCAAGGACTCCAATTTGTAAGTTCAATTTGTAGGTTCACTGGAAAGATCTTATTAATATACAAATAATTGGAACTTTTTTATTTCTTACAGCTTTATCAGCACCATGCTTACGGGGATTCTCACCCACCACCTAGGCTGGGTGGCCACTGTGTCGGCCTTCAATAGCGCCGGCCTTCGGCGATCGGAGTCCTCCGCATCGGCGGCGGCCATCGAGCAGCGGGCCAAGCTGCTCCAAGTGGCCCAGAAGCATCCGTACAATGCCCTGTGGGCCCAGCTGGGCGACCTTTATGGAGCCATCGGCATGCCGCCCAAATTGGCTCGCACCATTGTCTGTGGAGCGGAGAAGTTGTGGGTGGAGAAGCTGTTAAACGTGCTCACCTACTTCATCCGCTGCAGCGAGGTACGGCGTGCGGCCAAGCGGGAGGACTTCAACAAGCAGCTGATCAACGACCTGGTGGCCCAGAGCCAGGCCCAAAACCAGGCGGGCAACCAAGAGCGGCACAAGAGTCCACCGACGCAAATGCGCGGATTGAGCAGGACGGCCACCTGCAAGCAGAATCTAAATTCCATTGTCGATGATGCGGACGATGAGAATGGCGAACTCAATGGCTACGGCGGGGAGGACGAGAATGGTGAGCGCGACGAGATGGACTCTGTATCCCTGGATGCCAGCGATGGGATGCAGACACTGAAGAAGAATGAGATTCCCACGGTGTTGGCCTTTAGGGACTCGCACTTTGTTCAGCAGGAGCTGCGTATCGGTAACTATCTAATGGACACGGGAATTGACAAGAAGACACTGCTGGCGCGACAGGCGCAGCAGTATTTTCGCACTGGCAAGGACGGCCGGATCCGTTTGACAGTGACCACGCCGGACAACGTGGAGCTGTGCATGGAGGAAGAGCAGTCGAGCGGCACTGGCTCTGTGAGTACTGGTTCCGTGGACGATGGCGCCATCGAGGCCATCGACTACGAAGAGAACATGGAGGCGCCGCCGAAGAAGAACTTCTTTTGGAACATGGTGCCGGTGGCGGGCGTCAAGGAGGGGCTGAGTCTCACCGATTTGGCCAAGCTGCAGCAGGGAATTCGGATCATTAATAGGAAGCTAGAGCGACGCAGTAGCAGCTACTCTGTTGAGGGTAACCCCGACCAGCTGAGCAAAACGGGTGGAGGCACAGGAACAGGTGACTTTGAGCCCCTTAGCCACGAGAGACGCTCTTCGCATTTGTCCCTCTCGGATCTGATCACGCAGAACAGCATGGGCAAAAGCGATCGCATGACCTGGGGAATCGAGCCCATAAAGGAAAACGTGAGCCTGGAAGAGCAGATCCACTTCGATCAATGCCACAAACTAATCGAGCGAGAGCACGGCATCTGCCGACAAACATCGGCGGATAATGGCAACGGTGTTGTTTTCGTCCTCGGCGACAATGAGCCGCTGATCAACCTGAAGAAGAGCAGCGAGGATCTGAGCGGAGATCAAGATGCCAAGCCCGCCCTAATGCTGTGCGCCCAGCATCAGCGCACCCACGACAGGAGTAAACACTCTGGCATGAAGTTCAACTTTGAGCAGTATCCGCAGATTGCAACCAACTACATGAAGAGCAAGAATCTGCTGATGTCCAATTATGATCTGCTAATGGACAAGGCCACCAAGCTGGAGGCCAGCGAGGCAGCTGCTCTCAAGGAAAGCGATAGTACGGCAACGCTGGCGGCTAGCAGTAGCTCCACGGCTGCCATGCCTCCGCCTGCAACTCCGGTGGCTGCGAATAGCGACCGTTGCGTGGTGTGTAGCAGTGGCGTTGGTATTAGCGCCTCGGCCACCTGGAACCAAACACCTTCCAACGCCACCGAGCTGGAGTTTGAGACAGATGAGGTGCACTGCTATAATCAGAGTGGGATCGGCAATGGATCCAGCTCCAGGGTCCTGCAGGCTGTGAGCTCGGCCGCGTCCATAGACACCCTCAAGTCGGCGGCTGCTGTCGAGCCACTTAGTCCACCGATCCCAACGCAGATGCAGACCACCTACATGCGAAAGCAGCAGCCCAAGCGGGTGCCGTCAGGACGTAGTTCCGTCTCCTCGGTGGCCGCAAAGTGTGCGGCTGTCAATGTGTCCCAGCAGCTGCTAAAACTGCCTGTTCCGGGCGTCAAGGAGCTTCCACAGGACGACGACTCCCCGGGCGATCAGCTGCGGGCCGGCTTCATTCCCTCGCTGCTGCTTAGCGTCAGTGATCACTACGTCTCCGATATGGTACTCCAGGTGGGTGTCTTAATCATTTAAGATTGTTTTTTAACCTTGAACCAATATTTATAAAATTGTTTTATCCCCAATTCCATAGGGCACTTGTGCTCCACCTAATAAGTGGGAGATGCATCTGCGCGAGGATCTAGCGCTGGCCGCGCGCTCCGCTTCGCTAATCTCGCAGCCAGCGGAGAACATAGCTATTGTGGCCGACATGGACAAGTGGGATGTTCGGCTTATCTCGTCGCAGACGCAACAGTTTCCGTACGCCGGTGGCCAGAGCTCGCCTGTGGGCATGTCTCAGCTCGTGTCCAGCATGCTGGAAACCGTACAGGCCATGCATGCAGGTGGAATTCCCGCCTACGAGGTACGTACTTTTAAATGATGTTTACTATTCTGTTTTTGCTAATTTGGGAATCTTGTTTTTCAGTGTTTGTCGTTCCTTGAGTCAAAGCTGCAGGAAATCTATCTGCAATCGGAAACATTGGCAGCGTTCCTGCTGGAAACGGACCCTTGCCGCCTGAGCGACATTACAAATCCTCTGCAGCTCTCCGAGAATGATGTGCCGCTGTTGCTATCAATCGCATATATACACACGCCCAAGATCAGCCGCAAGTGCGGTATCAGCTTCAGGTGACAGGCCGCCGCCGTCGCCGTTTGCTGAGCCAGGACATTGCCAAACATTCTACCACAATCCACCCTTCAGCGAGCTCTTCTCATGCATCATCCAAAGCGATACAAGCAAATACTCCAGCGAATTTTATTTTCACTGATTTTGTGATATATTTATACGTGTATGAATCTAGCGCTTTAAAGCAGGATACGTTAGTGAGCCATAGCTTAGCCTTAGCCCCTCGAACGGAACCAATCCGATCCAAACAGAAACGGTTGGTTTCATACTAATTTAATCGCCCGGTGTAAACGGGTCGTTCATCGAAATTTACCACATCCACTCATCGCGGTCACATGAAGAAGTATTGTAAATTATCTGGGTTAGAATTAGCCGGCCAGATTGCGTTGGCGATGACGGTGACGATGATGATGACGACTCCGGCTTAGCAGCACTCGAAAAGCCCTGCTATCGGATTAATCGATCGCCAGAACATATCTTGCCCCGCCCCACACTTTTGTAGTGCTTGATTTAGATTTAATAATTTATGACAGCAGTAATATAATCGTAGAAATAATTGTATAAGTTTACAATACCCTAGGGATGCTGTGCAGCTACTAAACTAATATGTGTATAATGCATTCGAGAAAACAACTAAAACAACAAATAAATCAAAACAAAATATGTATATATTTTTGAAGGAAGGAATATACAACAATTTTAAAATGAACCAATTGTGAGTTTTATTTTATTATTTGGAAATTATGGCATGTCAATATATATGGGAACGTTCGTACAACATTTCCCAGGACTTATAAGAAATCCTTTCAACAGCGTTTGAGTTTCCTTTTTGCCATTTTTCTAGAGACAAAAAATATTAACGACGCTCAAATATATGGCTGCAACAAATAAGAACCTGACTTTATCGGCACCTCGGCAACCCTAATTTATCGATTGACCGTTTGACATTTATCAGGACACATTTAGTTTCCAAAAACGAGTGTGCATTCTTGTTATATAGTTTTTGAAATAGAACCAACATGTCGAGTTTAATTTGTAAGAAATTCTCTATGGCTTTGAATTCGGTAGCGTCATGTCTGATGCGTCCGCCAAAAGATGAAATTCTGGACGAGCTTTATATGGTGCAACATAAGATTATGGAAAATCTGAATTCTGCTGGCAGGTGGGACGGGACATTGTTCACCTTTGGCGTAATGGGTAAGCACAAAGGAGACTGCGGCAGGTCAAGAAATATGTACATATTGAATAAATTCCAGGAAATTCTTCGGAAGCCATAACAAAAATAAATGATGGAAAATATGAGTTCCAGGTTAACGTGAAATTTCCCTTTGAACTTAAGCCCATTAAGGACGAGCGTCGTCCTGGGTTTGTGATGCTCCAAGCTGGAGAACTCGTAGACCATCCAGCCGTTGTTAACGGGTTTCTCCAACGCGATGCCCTTGCTTGCTGGTTTTTATTCATTATAAATAAGGATGGGACAAACATCCGTAACTTTTCATTGGACGGTGAGGAGTTTATCATGAGTTTCTCCCTGATTAATATTCGGTCCTCTGTGCACCTGATCTGTAAGCCAGTGCTCCAGTTTGACTTCTCGAAGTGGCCGCTGCCATATCCGGAGGTTCCCGATGGTGGTCTGAGTTTTCGCAACCATCCCTGGTACGCGGTACCCAGGGTGACTGTACCTTTGGACAAGCGGAGCTTTATGGTCTGGGCTCCGGACTGGGAACGCTTCCTGATGGAATGGAACTGCCATGCGAACAAGGTGCTGCTTTTGATGCGTGAAATAATGGAACAGATGGAGATATACCTTCCGTTAGATGTGGTCAAATCGATTATACTGCGTAACATTCAGACCCTTCCATTCGACCTGGGGAATTGTTTCCTAGCCGTTTTCGAGGCTTTTGTTAACGATTTGCAGGAGGGCAAAGTGACTCCATTCCTTGTGGACAGTGTGAACATGCTTCAAATAGGATCGAATTATGAGGCCAAGATTGAAGTGTACCATTATACAGCCTCAAATCTTTTGAATACATTTAAAAATGTTAAGTCTCGAGCTCTGGCCGATCAAGTCAAGACCGGTGGTGACAACCAATCCTCCGGTCCCGATAACTGGATTACAGTTCTACATCTTTTATTTGGTAATTAAATAAAAGCAATCTTTTTATATAAATGCAGTAGAAATCTTGTTACTCAACTGTCTTCTAATTTACAAAACACAAAAAAGCCCGTATAGCGTATAAACTTTGTTAATTAGTTACATACATATATATATGGGAATTTTACCAATAAATCGGATAAAGACTTGGATGTGTATACAATCAACTTTCAAACCAGACCTCAGAAAAAATTTGCGATAATAGATCGTAACTGTTGTAAGCTGTACAAAACAGACGGTCTTGATTTTTCTAAACTACTGTTGAAAAATGGCTAAAAAAAGAGTAGTTTTGACTAAAATTTGAGTCCGCCCTAAAAATAACTTTTTTGACTGCCATATTGCTCATAAAGGTCAGAATGAGGAATTTTATACGACGCTGAGTTTGTTGCTTAATTACCAATCTATTGGCATTAAAACCTAAAAAGTGTCAATTCTTGACATTTGGTGCGAAAATGGATCAAACAATCAATTTTGCTTAAAGGTATGTGGATGGACCGTTAGTATAGGGTGTAAGCTACTAAAAACAGTCGGCGTTTTAGCTGAAAACCTTCTTTTGGCTTAACTACGAGTGAAAAACGGATAAAAAAGAGTAGTTTTGACTAAAATGTGAATCTGTATTAATACATAATGTCTGTTCTCAATTTTTTAAGTTGTTTAATTTTATTTTCATGTTTAATTATGCTTACATATCACTAAACGGTTATACATACATAAATACAAGTACTCGCTACTGCTTACTCGATAGGGAAAGACATTGTTTTAAGATTCCCGATTAATCAACATAAACATCGAATTAAATAATTATCACATTTCCTAAAGTGTTCGGATATTATGGTAGTTCACTTATAGTTGGTTTGCGGACTATGAGGCTGGCGTTAGTTGCGTGTTCAGCTTCAGATCATTTCTCGACCTCCAAATGAACCCCGTGGTCACTTGCCCTTCTGCGACTCCAGGTAGGTGGCCGTGAAGGTGAGCAGACGGTGCCGTTGCTTCAGGTTACGGGCACGGACATGGGCCGAGTTCAGCTCCTCGGTGTAGGTTCCCGGAAACCAGCCGACGGCGCCATCCCGTATCCTTTCGCCCTGGTACCAGCCTGCAAAAAGAATACAAAATGATAAAATATACTATTTTTGCAGCATTTTGCAGCCACTCACCGTCGGGTAGCTTGCGGGAAACATTAACGACATCGCCCAGTTCCAGCTGTAGGACGTCCGGCTCATCGGACTCGTAGCTGTGCTTGGCCACCACCTGTGGACAGTCCCAGGACTCGTAGAGCTTCTCGCCGGGCGTCTCCGCCTCCGGTGGTCTCATAGCCTGCAGCCAGCGCTGTTGATCGGACACCGATGGGCAGGACAGAATCTTCAGGATGGGAAAGTAAATTAGTGCTGCTATTAGCAAGGGAACAGGAGGAGGACTAGGTTAACCCACCAGCTCGACGGTCTTGCGATCGCTGTTCTCGAGCAGCGTCATCACGATGAGGTTCTTGCCGGCCTGGTCCTTGAGGTCCTTGGTGGGCAGCTGGGGCAGCGAGTCGCCGGCGGCGAGGGTGAGCATGCTCCGGGGGCAATAGTCGAAGACGGTGAAAGTGGATTCGCCACGACGCTTGCAGAGGAGCAGGAGATCTGAGAAGAGAAAGGCGTAGATGCTGACCTTCGACAGGCGCTTGCCAAAGGTCAACTTGGCGTCGTCGCCACGCCACATCAGGTGGGTCAGCTCTCCCCGTTTGACCAGGTAACGTGGCTTTGAACCCGCCCTGGGCACGCCCACCGGGGCAATGGCCAGGGCACGCACATGGCTTGGGAACTCCAGTTGGCGTGCAATCCGTTCCAGCTCGAAGGCCTGCTCCCAGCGATTGGCCGCCTCATTGCACTGGCCCACCAGTTTCTGGACGAGGGCCAGCGTAAGCTTCCAGCCCTCGTACTCCTCGCGATTCAGCGGCGACTCCTTGCTGAACACCGCGTCGATCAGGAGTGGCAGCCGGGTGATCCTCTGCATGGGCAGCATCAGGAACGAGTGCAGATTGAGACCACAGCAGCTGGGACTGGCCTCCAGACGCTCTAAGTGCTGCTGGAAGGCCAGCGAGTCCTTGGACTCCTTCAACCGGCGCAGCGTCCTGTCCATCCTGCCCTGATGCTCGCAGAAGGCCACGTAGACATGGAAGTGCCGCTCGGCGATCTCGTAGATGCAGCGACTCAGTCCGAGCAGCATGATGTTGTCCTGCCAGCAGGCCTCCAGTTCCGTGAGCAGCCGCTCCGAGCACTCGTGGACGGGCACGATGTAGGAGAAGAGCGCCTTCCGGTCCTTGGAACTCAGCACGGACGTGTCCACGAAGGCGCTGTGGTTCATAAAGTGCCGTCGCAGCAGGTTCAGGGACTTCAGGTAACTGGCCTCCGACGTAATGATCTCGAACTTGGCCTCCTGCAGACTGCGCTCCCGACTGGTCAAGGTGGCTGGAATGAAAAGGTCAGGAGCTAAGTTAGTTGGAGTTTCTAAATTGCTAATTTATGGGCTTAGGTCAACAAAGACCCAAGAACTTTGAAAGCAACAAAATTTGTGTTATTTATCCTGTTACCTCCGTACGCACATATTTAATAATGTATAATACATTATACATTTTTACATTATTCTCCGTTTTCTCGACCGCATGCAAGTATTCTAAGTATGTAGGTTTAAAATCTAGAATCGTTAATTACACATTTATAATTTACTAGTAGTGAAAAGAGAGAAAAAGGAAATCAAATCTTCTTGAATCGTTAAACTTTTAATTTTAGTAGATAACGTGTGTTTAAAAATTCAATTTTCCAGCACACTTAAATTAATTTTCAATTTCTAAGAACTTAATTTAATTTAAGCAATTTAATTTTCACGATAAGAACGAATAGATATCGATAAATATCCATTATTGAAGTGCACCCCTGGTGCATATAGATTCTATATTATAGAACCATTTCAAAGCCCTCGTGGTATAGAAAACACCAAGAAACGAAACGAGTCCCTTGAGTTTTTAAATTCTAAGAATTATATCAATCTACCGATTTCTCGCAATAAATTCTAATAAATATCTATAAACTTGACAACTTAAGTTAGTTTTCAATTTCCAAGAATTGTATTTTACTTGGGCAACTCTACAATTTTCTAACGATAAAGGCGAATGGATATCGATAACCTAGATAAAGTCTTGAAGTTCATTATTAAAGTGCATCACTGACTCAGATAAAACCATTTCAAAGCCCACGTGGGAAAAAATCCAAGATATAAAATTAAAGATGTATAACGATTTCACGAACTCTCTTAATATGGTCGTGTCAGAATTAATCGAATCAAACGCCCCACCGGCAATTCCGAAGGAAATCAGGGTTTTGCAGAAGTTGATTATGGCGAAATTGTCATCCTTGAATGGTAGTGAGAAGTTCAGTTATGGAATATTGGGTATGTACATACACACGTTAATTTACTTTACTTTTTCGAAGTATTAACATTAAAAAAATGATAATTTCAGGCAGTTGCACTGAGGTGATCCGCCGGATTCGGAAAAATGAGTTTGAGTTCTACCTTAAAGTGTATTTCGGGTTTAAGGTAACGCCAGTCATAGATGATATGCGTAAGGGATTTGTGATGATTAAAGTTTCCGACGATGAAGTACATCCGGCTGTGGATGGCGGCTACGTGGTGCGAGAGGCCCTCGCCAAATGGGTGATCAAAATTATTTCCAATGATCCGGAATATAAAAAATTTGGTTTCTATTTTGAGGGGAACTTCACGTTCATTCATCGCTCCACGAAGAATAAGCTGTCGTGTGTGCCAGTACTGGAATTCGAGCCTACCCAGTGGCCACTTCCACAACAGAGCCTTCCGAAAATCGGATTGAGCCTGAAGGCCCATCCCTGGTATGCGGTGTCAAGACCAACCATACCCCTGGACAAGCGGAGCTTCATGGTTTCCGCTCCGGACTGGGAACGCTGCCTGATGGAAGCGCACCACCATTCGCATCGGGTTGTGCTGTTGCTTACATGTCTTTGCGATGTACATATGTTGGATCCTACAAGCTTTGAGGAAGTTATCCGGACCGTTGTTTTGCAGCAGGTACTCAACTTATCGAGTGACCTGGGAAACTGCCTGATCGAGGCTCTGGAGGCCATGGCGGACAGCCTTAAAGCAGGAATTCTAAAGCGATTTCTGGTGGATAACGACAATGTGCTCCATACATGGAACGAGGTCAAGTTGGAGACCAATTATGAGGAGTTAAGTTATGTCCTGAGACAATTGAAGGATATCAAAACACAGGCCGAGGATAGCGTTAAGGAGGGGCAAAGCGATTGGAAATCAAGGCTGCTGGCCATGTTTATGTAAACACAGCATTGCCTAGAACACATTTTCACATTTTAAAGTTTATAATTTTGAACATTTTTCGAAGTGATGTTACAGATCATTTAGGTAGTGATGAATTCAGTTTAAACTTATGCTGTTTTCGTTGCGTTTTTTTATAGTACCTTCTCTATTGAAAACTTAAATCCTTGAAAAAATTATAGATTATTTCAAACTCTAACTCAAAAATAACCATTAATATGAAAGACAATAATATTTTAAAGAAGGTTATTACAACATCAACCCAAGAACGAAACCTGTCATATTCTCCATTAAATACTTAGTTTCTTGAAGAAATTAAAGATTATTAAAATAGTAATAAGTTCAGTTTAATTTTCCGATTCTTTGTCTTGGAGCCATGTGTTAAACTCAATTTTAGAAAGAACCACCAATATGGAAGACGATTATTTTTAAAAGAAGCCTATTTGAACATTCACCGCACAAACGAAGTGAACTACATATGTAAATGCCTTATGGCTTATTTTAAGTCTTGGAGTCATGTTAATAAAGGCCAGAGCAAACTATAAACCAACGATCTACTTACGCAGTATGCAAGAGTGTATGACCTCGGGGATCTCGCACCACAAAGTGCGCGAGGGTCCGTTCTTGGGCTCCACCAGTTGGAGAGCAGTGGGTCGTGGTTTGGCCTGCGGCTCTTGCTTCGCCTTGGCATGCTGGCCAATCTCCTCGTAGCCATCGGAGGATCCATGCGCCTCCAGATCTCGGGTGATCGACTTTAACGATTGATAGGGATACATATAATGGATAAATATAATTTAAGTTTTAGATCCACTCACCTCCAGCTTGGCGGCACTGTACATCTGGTATAGCGGCTCGTTGGAGAACAGGCTGTGCGGCTCCGAGGAGAGCTCATCGCCCAGACCCGCCTCGTTGCCGGTGGAGACCCCCGAGCTGCCGCTGGAACTGGCCACGGATATACCACTGGTCTGGTAGAGACCCGACTCCGCGTACCAGGAGTTAACGCCTCCGTGACCACTTGGCGTTGGCGTGACCGGTTCGTCGCCCCTAGGAGAAACTGCAGCATTGTTGGCCTGCTTGAAGACACCGCATTCGGCATACCAGGAGGTGGTCTGTCCAAGATCCTGCTCTCGCTCCGGATCCGCGGGCGATTTGTTGCCGCCCATTGGCGGTGGTGGTGGCGGAGGATCGTGGGGCCGCAGTCCGATGGTGGTGCGTCTTCTGCTGGCCTTCGCCTCCTTCTTGGCTTTGCGAGCCACCGTGGAGAACTTCTGCGACTCCGCCGACGGCGTGCAATTCTTCTCGGAGAAGCCCGAGTCCAGTTCACCGTAACCATGGATCTCCGGCTCCAGTGGCAGGGCTGGCAGTGATCCCTCCGGGTCCTCCACGTAGAAGGTGCTCCGTGTGGCCGCCAGCGAGGAGAGCTGCTTGGTATCGAAGCTGGAGCCCACCAGACTCTTGCGCAGACGGGAGCGCAGGCTCTTGCCGTTCTTCTGCTTGTCCCTCAGCACTGGAGCCTGTTGCTTCTGGTGGACCTTGGCTGCCGGATTACGATCCGGACCGTAACCTGTGCTTTCGTACAACTCCTCCGTCCGTTTGGCGCTCTCCACGTAGAACTGCGTGGATGCAGGCGTATTCTCGTAGAGCTTCTGCTGACTGCCCTTCGGGGATTTTTTGCTGGAGATGAAATCCTTGAATTTGCGCACGAATTCGTACACCTGGTTTTGCGGAGGAGGTGGCTTCGGCAGGCGATGGTTGCGCATGTCCACGCCGCTGTCATTGTGCTGGATTGGCAAATGGAAGTGTTACTTTGGGTGAATCTATTGGCTCCACGTGGGCACTTACGTTTCGTAGCCGCTGGTCGGGCTCTCCATCGCCGTGATCGTCGCTGTCCGTCTCGAAGGAGTCGTAGTCATCCGAGATGACCACGTGCTCGCCCAGCGTGTGGGCGGATGCCGAGTGGCTCTTGCTGCGGCGATGCGAGGAGCGCACGCCACCGCTCCGGCTCCCTTCCTGGCTGTGGCGGACCAGCTGCGTCGAATGGCGTTTGTTTCCGAGTGGCGACAGGGTCTCGTAGTAGTGGTCTGAGTCATCTAAGCGGGGGTGGAAAAAAGCGGGGTTTATAAAAGTGTATACGGTATATATATCCAACGATTACAATCATAGGAATGAATGATATATGTACATATCATGAAAAGCTCATAATATAGGTATATAATGTTATGTCACGATATCTTTTCCATAAAGTTAAGGTAAACATAACGTTGAACTTTATGAAACTTTACTATTATCTATAAACATCACTATTCAAATTTTAGTTTTTTAAAATATCTTAAAGTTATTTTAAAACAATAATCTAAAAGAGTTTTTATTTTAAATTTAGGATAGATAGTTTTAATATTACATTAATAATACTTCACTTGAAGGGGTGATTAAAAATAAATTTGTTATTGAAACAACAAGGACAAATAAAAGTATTAATTTTAAAAAATAACATGTATGCTTTATGATAAAAATAAATATTTAAATCCTTAAACGTGATTTAAGAGGAGGATGTTTTTATAATCCATGTAACATACAATTTTAGGTGATTGCAATAATATGCTTTCTATTTCTAATAAATGGTAAATAATGTTTGTAGTAAAATAATGTAAATAGAATATATGCATATTTTTAGAACCAGAACGAACCTACGAAAGTGCTCACTGTCATGGAGACCTTTGCGGTATTGCCGCCCCTCTCGTCGTGGGTCACCACCATCGAGGTCAGTAGCTGGGCCCGCTGGTGGGCGTGGCTGCGGCGTTGGCTAATGGCCGCCGCCTCGTTTTGGTAAATGGGTTCGGGAGCGGGACGCATGGGTTCGGCGGACACGGGTCCGTTCAGATAGACGCTGCTGGTGTTGCCCTGACAGGTGACCCCCACCTCGCCGGCTGCACGGGGTCGCCGTTTGCGGGGCAAGGTCACAGGGTCGGCTGGATGACCGCTGCTGCTTAGACTGCCGGAACAGCTGAGGCGCTGGCCGTTGCTGCGATTCAACGCCGACATCTTGTCACATCTTTGGGGTCAGAAGGCTGTCAACGGATTGAATGAATCACTCAATTGAACAAACTCCTGCACTCAAAAACTAATTCGTTTCGAAATCGGAAAATTTCCACAAAAATAAATTCATTTTTGATTATAACATATGTATATCAGAACATTTTTGTAATTTAACTATGGTTTTTTTTAATAACGGATTTATATAATAATGGAGGAAATCGTCTGATTCGCTTTCGAATAAGAAGTTTATTTATGCTGCTCTAAGTTTTAGAAATTTCGTTATTTTTTTTAATTAATACTTATACAATAAATTGATACGTTTTTTCGAGTGTGGAGCTTCAGCTGTGGTATTCAGAACTCTGTTCTTAGGAAACTGCACTCAATTGAGAGCAATTAAAGCTGCTGCAGCAATTGTCTGCCCTTTTTTGATTGACCAATTCTGCCCACTGTCCGATATGCTAATTAAACCGACTTTTCAAGAGTCACAACAATAAAGCTGGCCATATAAAGCGAATGGCCTGCAAACCCGTATGTGGCGCGGACTGAGCAAAACTAAACTAAAGTTAACTCAAATAAAGGCAAACACCCAAAGCCAGGGCATGCAAAATAGCGCAAATTATAATGGAATCATGGTTGAATGCAGACAGTCGCTGTGGATACAATGTCGAGTGATTAACAGACATGGTGGAAAAATCAAACACCATGATGTGGCAGGTGCCGCACATCAAATACTCTGAAACCTAACGAGTTTAGCTATTTTCAAACGAGTTTTAGGCACTTTTTCATGGTGTAGAACACCGTTATTCTAGCCGGATTCAGGCACAAAGCGCTTAGACTAGATACTATCTGTTCGCATATTACGTATACGTAGTACGTAGACCAAGAGGCAGGCAAGCGCTGCGAATGCCAACCGGTTCGAGAGCGCCAATAAAACCAGGCAGCGAAGACCCAGCTCTGAAAGCTGAACATGAATATGAGATTTTATAAAGATATGCGGCTTACGAACATGAACCCACAAGTGAAGTCAAAAAAATAGCACCAAAAACGTCTGGGAATCTCAGAAAAAAATTATATGATGTTTTTAAAATCCTTATTAGGTAGTTAAGAATCTCAAATGTCTTCTTCACTTTTATAAGATCTGTACTATTCCGCAGTATTATTTTTACAAACATTGGAACTATACTCAAAATAAAGAAGTGTAAATTTAAAATAAGATCAATACCAAATAAATTATTTACGAACTTAGTTTTTATACTTCTCGAATCCTAATCTAGATTGACTAAAAGCATTTAGAGAGACTATAGCAACCTTTACCATTATATTTTATAATATTTTAAGAGCTATAACTCTGCCTGCAACTGTTTGTCTCTGCGTATATGTACAAATCTTGAACGAAACGAGATTCTTTTTGAAGGCGACACTTGTTGCGCGTGGGTTTTTGGAAATATTGGAGTTCTGGTCGGCGAAACAAGGAGCTGCTGAGATTCTGGCCAGCAGTGCCATGATACCAAAGTTACCGGTTTCGGGTTATTGCTTACGGCATCGAGTTTGTATTCTCTGGTGAAATTCTTCGAATTTAGGCTTTTGTTGGTGCGTGTAAAGTGAATGTTCATATCGTTCGTACCGCAACGATGCCAATACGGAAATGGTTTATTTCATTAGTCGCCTCAACGCCTCTTGGCGTGAGACCCAAACAAAGAAACCGAACCAAGGAAAAAGATGGTCTAGCAATGCGATCCATTCGTAAGCAAGCAAATGCCCAGACTTGGGATCATATAATACATACGTGGTATATGTACTACATAACGATGTGTGTATACGAAGATGATCTTTTGTTTATTGGAATGCAGCAAGTGCAAGGCCGACAGTTTGACGATCTCTTGAGGTTGGTGCTGCTGTTTCTATCCGCTCTTCACGCATAAACAATTAACAATTAACACTGCAATGCAGCTGGAAAAAATCCAGTTGATCAACGGATCGAACGGTTGATTGATCGCCTGACGCATTAAGGTTAAGATTATTAAGTGCCGAACGATGTCATTGTCTTCCACTCGGCTCTTGGTCACGTAGGAAAACCATAATAGCTGATAGGAACGACGATCAGAGTCAGAAAATTGTTTTTACAGATATGTTTTACAGTATGCTTGGATTGCTTCATACTTTAAACGACTTCATCTCGGGTGGTATTTTTCTTCACTTCATTTTAAATACTTTTTAAAGGCTTTTTTGTTCTAAAAGAACACTTTTTCGGGCATTTATTATGGCACATGCCAACACAACTAGTAGGTTAATTTCCTTCGTATAATTATTTTTAGAAATATTTGTTGCTAGTTGTCTATCATCACTCTGGAGCTTTTGGCAGTAGAAATATTCGATTGGGAAGAAAACTATCTAGGTATTTCAGCAAATATTTCTTAAGCATATACAGCCATTATAATGATACTTCAATTTCTAAGAGGGCCCAGTAAAACCACAAGTCATCTAATTCAGTTTAAAGATCAAGCAATTGAGTCATATCTTTTTAAAGTATACAAGGTATAAAGCAATTTATTAGAAAATTTGTGCTTTAATTTTACACATCTGAAAAACTAACTAGTCATCTAATAAACAAATTGAATATGGCAATCTCTAGTACAAAAGTTGCTAACTTTTAAAAATCATGCCTTTACATAAAGATATTATTAAATGTTGGCAACATATGGTCGTATTTTCCTTAACGAGAGAGCCCTGTACAACGACTAGTTGTCAGCTAATTGAAAAAGTGCATCGAATTAGGAGATCCCCAATTGAGTGTCATCTTCCTGCATGCGACAAGCTCATAAATTTTCATAGCCCCAAACGACTGTGACTGTGGGTCGGAATTTCCACGACACTTTCGCCGCGGGCGTTGCGTGTTGGCCAAAGTTAACGAGCCAAAGTTGAACGTGCCGCGGGTAAAAGTTAAAAGCCAAGCTGAGAATTTCCATTTAGCCGACTTGGGCTTGGGCCTAAGCATTGCCGGTTTGCGGGTTTCGGTTTCACCCATGAAACATGAAACAATTACAAGATATTTTCCAATTGCCAAGTGGAGTTGCGTTCGCTGAACTCTCTTTTTGGAAGAGGGGTACGCCAAACGCGATAATTGCATTTTTACGCAAAGCCTTTTTTGTAGGATTATGTGCAGCACTGAGCAAATTTGAATAAAAAAAGTGGTAATAAATTTGTAAAAATACAAATTGGTTTTTAATAGAATTATACTTTAGAAAAATACAATTATATTTGTATATTTCATATACATTTCTAATAAAATATTGTTATAATATTATGACCATGTCGAAGGACCATTTAGAAAAACTATAATTTAGATCATGACTAAGTTAAAAAAAATATTTTAAGCTTTTGTATAAAGTTAGGATCTTTTACTTCAAGTATTTCTAATAAAATATAGATACTATACTATGACCATGTCGAAGAACTATTCAGAAACACAATAATTATGATCTTGACTTGTTTCAAAAAATATTTTAAGCTTTCATACAAAGTTAGGATCTGTTTCTTAAAGTATTTTACTTTTTTAAAGAAGACTACTATCTTGATTGTTTTTTTGCCTCTGTAGAAGAGCATGCTCAGTGGATTTCGACTTCGAATTCGCACTCTAGTTCGCATTGCACATTGCACACCGCCTTTTTGCAATAGTTGCCTCATTATGACATGTTTTTTAATGCAAAAGTCATCGCCGTATTTGGGGAATGGCGATTCCTTTGGCCAATAGTTTGTTGAACGGATATCTCGCGATGATTTTTTCCCTCGCTTCGCTTTGTGTTTCTTTAAGACTTCTTCAAGGTTGCCTTTGGGCTGGCTTGTGTTTTAAACACATTTCTAGACTGGTTTTTTCGTTTTCGCTAAGCAATTTCGTCATCGCCCAGCAAAGGCAGCAACAAATAATGGCAAGAAAAACAACAAATTAAAGGTGGATTATCAAGGGGGCGGGGGTGGGTAAGGGCGAAAACAACAATAAAGTCGGGTTTCAGTTCGTGACGTCTCCAAAAGCAGCAACAACCACACGCACAAATAATGCAACATAAACTTGTAATGCAAAAATGCACTAAGCTCTCTCTCACTCTCTCTCTCTTGCTATTTCACTCTCTTTCTCCCTTTGTCTGTGAGAGTTTTCCTAAATTTTAGATGCATTTCATGCTTTTGTTTGATATATTTTATTTCTCTCAGTTTGGCATTAGAGCAGCATCATAAACTATCCATTGATATTCACATTTATCACTCGAATTCTTTCGCGTTTTTGTATTCGGGCGACGGAGACCCGTTTTAGCCAGCGGACCGTCGGAGTTGAGCGCGTCGGAACGAATGAGAGGCCCCAGCCAGATGCCCGTGGAGAGCAGCTACAGCTACCCCAACATCACCAACACATCGAGGGCAACCACTGCACACTGCGTCCACTTTATGGGCATCGTACACTGAGAGAATGCTGCTAGTTGGTTGGATATAAAGTCGGCTCCTATATCCCATACATAAAATAAACTAACTTAAAGAGAGTTCTTTAAAATGGGCATCGTACACTGAGAGAATGGTGCTAGTTGGTTCGATATAAAGACGGGATAAAAATCTAATTTCAGGTAATTACAAAAAACTAACTAACAGAGATATTTTAAAAGGATATTTAAAAAATTGTTAGTCCTACATGTAATAACTTAGTAACAAGTAAAAAAAAATGATATATTTATTTTGAAATAAATTTCTTTGATCTTTTGAGAGGTTCCACACATGTAATAATAAGAACTTTTATAAGCAGGAAGATTTTTAGACAAAGACCTAATAATTATACCATTGACTACTAAAACTAACTTGCAAAGTTTTTTAAATTCATATTAAAAACATTATTGGTAAATTGAACCTATATATTATATTTAAGTTATTGTACTTAAAGTAATTTTTTTAGCTAAAATAATTAATGCACATATTTAATTGATGTCGAAAAAATAATTTTTTTTTTAATAATTTAAAGATTTGAAAAAGTGATTACTCATCCGCGACGTTGGTAATTTTTTTTTTCATTAAATTTTGGTTAAATTAGTAGATTAGTTAAATTTGGAGCAGTGTGAGTTTTTTTTTTGTGGAACCTGTCGCCCTGTTTGCTCTCCTGCCCGTTTTTTTTTAACTCTCACTCTCACTCTCATTTGTAAAAAGGTGGCTTAATTATCCGCTCCGTTAGCTGCTCGCCTTTTCAACAATTTGGGTTCCGCTTCACATTTGGCATTTGCTTTCGAGGAACTCAGACGCCGCTTGGGGCAAAGTTTGGACTGGAGCACCCAGCCACTTACAAATGTATATTCATAAAAAAGGCAAAGTGGCCTTAACTTGAGCCAATTAAACAGTGGATAATTATTGGTTTTGAGCTTGTCAATTTACAGCTGTGGACTGCATGTGTGGATGGTAAAGCTTAGTGCGGACACAAACCAAAGATCGAAATCAACCGCTGAGCTTTTATTGAAAGGAGCTTTCATGGGAATCCCCTCTATAACAAGTTTGGTTTTTATATAATTTATCATAAGCTATGAGCTGTTGTAAAAAATATGTTTTAAATATTTTAAACAAGATAACATAAATACAATGAGGGATTGGGTTTTCTGAGTCTATTTATAATTTGTCATTTGAGCCACTAATTTACAAGAAATTCGAATTGAAGATACTTATTAAGGTATCTTTTTTTAAATTTTTAAACCCATTCTAAGAACTTGTAGAGTATAAAACAAACTTCCACCGGCAACTAAATCCACTCATGTTGTAAGGTTGCAAATTATGTAAGTGGGGTCAGGGACTATTCGCGATAATATGGTTTCATCCCACAGTGAGCACTTTCTTTGGTTCTTTGGTTCAAATACTTAAAGCCAAGTAACTAATTTAGTTTCTTACTCACCCTCTATGCAGCTTATCGCCTTCTTTTGATGCAGTCTTTTGTCTCTGATGCGTTTCGACCAATCCGGACTTCGGGTGCGATGCGGCTTAAACCGTTCCCGTACACTGAAAACAAAGATGGTTTCCATTTAGTACTCACAATAATACTAATTTAATTGACTTGAAATAGTTATTGTTAATTACTTCATAATTTCACGACCGATCGATCAAACTAAACCCCTACAACTGATCGCCGTTGGGAAGATCCAACAATTGAGTACTCCAGATTGATTTTTTGGATCTCAGAATTTCTAGAGTTCCTCTCAAGAGGCCCGCCAATCTTATCAACAGATAACAAAAGAAATTGTAGGTCAGCGTTCTAATTATTGGGGGCCCCTCAAAACAGGGAGGGAATTGGACTGTGAAGTATTTTCAATCACCCGTCGAATGTTGCAACTTTAAAATTAACTCTGACAAAATGAAGCACACTCATGCTGTTGTACTAATTAAGTGCTAACAAAAAATGCTGGGGGTGACAATTATCTGTGTACAAAAAAAAACAATTAAAAGATCATTAAATGGCTGTTGTATAGCTCAATTGTTTGAAATTATCGCAATGCTTGTATTTCTTTTATAGGATTAAGATAAGCTCCGTTAAATTTATTTTTAGCACACTTGTTTCTAACTAAAATGTAGAATATATGTATATAATACGAGTATAGTCCAGTCATTTATTTTCCAGACGTCGCTGCTTTGTTGACTTTTTAACGAGATTAAACAAATAAATATATAAACCAGTGACTAAATAAATTCGCTTGATAAGAATTAAAATGCATATGTGCAATACAAATTTATAAAACATATTACTTCCTTTCAGATTTAACTTTACTTCCCTATCTAAGTCAGCGATAAAGATCTAAGTCCCCGACCGCCTTGACCTGCTTGGCAGTATATTTTTGGTGTCAGCATTTAGCTGGAAATATATAACTATTTTGATATGTCCATGTTGCAACCCACCATGCACCATTCATTGGCAGCAAATACAATTTTCGACCGTCGAAACCCCTGCGCTGCCTGTCCCTTATCAACCGATTAGATAAGACCAACCCAAACAAACCGATAAGCGATCTACGCAGAATTTATACCGCCCAGCTGTATACAACGGCAATTGCAATTCTTATCTTTTTCCGCTCCCAATCGTTTTTGCTTAACGCGGCAGTGAATAAACAATAATAACATTGCGATATTGTCTCCTCGATTTGCACACAATTCATATTTATACCATTATTCATATCATCTTGACCTACAGACTGGCGGCTATATTGAGCTTATTATTTCGTTTTTAATTTTTTGATTATACCTATCAGAAACGAAGACAAAACGCTAAGAAAATATGTTATGTAATGTGAGTTTTTAAATTAAATTGTTTTTATCAAAGAACTAATCCCTTAGTAATGCTCTAAATACATTTGTTTTTACAATGATTCGATAATAATATTATTTTACAAACGAATTCCAATGCTATGAACTTGGAACTAAAGTTGCCTATAAGAATGGTAATTCTCTCTTTTAAAGTTATATATATAAAACGTATTCTTCGGATACTTACACAATAAACTGGGCCTCGTTGGCCGTCGCCTCCAGCGGCGCCTGACCAATCTCGCCATCCGAAATGTCCACCCAGGCGTCGCTGTTGTCACTGGAACCCGCGATGGAGGATCTCTTGTCGCCGGGCTTTCCACTATCCCTGCTGCCGGCGCTGCTGCCCAAGGACGACCTGCATCCCACACTGGCGCTGCCGTAGACCACGCATCCGGTGGCCGCCAGCGAGGATTCGTACAGGCTGTTGGTCTTGTGATCCGAGGAGATGGTCAGGGTGGAGCCGCTGCTCGAGAGCTGGATGCAACTGCCCGCGGATGCCTGACCCTGAGCTCGACCCTGATCCTGACCTGCACCCTGATCCCTTGCCCCCCGAGTCTTCCGGAAATGCGGAATGCTCTCGTAGCAGTTGGAACTCAGGGATATGGCATCGGTGGTGAGGGTGGCTTCGCCGCTGGAGGATGAGGACGTGGCCTTGCAGTGCATGGACTCGTAGCAGCCCTTGATGGTATCGTATATGTTCTCATCCTCTTCCGACTCTTTGGCCTCTGGCTTGGGAGGAGCTGGACGCAGGGGCATTGGGGATTTGTTAAGTACTCTCTTGGGTTTCGGCAGTTCCGGCAGCTCATCGCGGGTATTACGGCCCAAAGTTCCAGTGCCCAAAGGAGTGGTGGGTGTTAGGGCCACCTCCGCCTGGGCAAAGGACTCGTAGCCATCGTAGCCGGAGCCAGGACAAGTAGCCTCCTGGGATCCTGCAATGGATTCGTAGCCCTCCAGCCAGTTATTCGGCTTGGCCATCTCCTCCACCGTTTGGTATATGTCCTCCACAATCTCTGATTTCTTGGCGTATATCTTGTAGAGGCTGGAAGTCTGGGTTTCAGTCTTGGTTTCATCGATGACAGGTGTGATGGGTTCGTAGATCGATTCGGGCTCTAAGTCCCCATCCATCTTTTGTACTTCTTGATCCTTCACCTCCTCCGTCTCCTCCGGCTTTAGTTTCAACTCTCTGACCTTCATCAGCTGCTTCTGCTCCATGATCATCTGCTCACCCTCGATGGCATTAACCAGTGTAACATTCACCGCTTGGTTGAGCAGGATTTGATTGTTGGAGATCTGCTTTCTGGCCGCCTGGTAGACAAAGGAGTTGTTGGGCAGGATGCGTTGCTCGAAGTCATCATTGGCGGCCAGCAGGAGTTCGTGGTCACCACCTGGGGCGGTCACCTCGCTTAGGGGACTGAGAACCTTGAGCTTTTGGTCTAGGGCCTCTAGGGCATCTAGTATTTTGGCATCGGCTTCAAGGCAGGGCGAAATGAGCAGGGGGTGTGAGGGATCTTCCAGATCTTCTTCTTTGGGAGTTACCTCTCTGGGTATTTCCAATTTGAAATCTTCTTTCTTGGTAACCTCTTCCTGGGGTACTTCCTTTTCTCTAGCCTTCTCCTTGGTAACTCTTTCTTCCTCATCTATGGATATCTCCTCCCGAGATCTGCCTTTGGTGGGTGAGGGACTCGCTGATTTCCTACCTTTCGCGAAGGTGAATCGGAGCTTCTCATATATGGAGGCATACTTGTGTTTCCGCTGCTTCTGACGCTGATCCTCCTCCTCCTCCTCCGCCTCCGCCTCCTTCTCACCCAAAATCCCATCCGGCTCTTCACTGGGTCTGTCATCTGTATGATTCAGTTCCTCGTGATGATTGTTCTTGGGCAGTGATTCAGTTGACTTTGGTTGCTTAGCTTGCTCTTCGGCGGGGATTGCCTTTAGTTCCTCCTTGACCATGGCCAGCTCGGGAATACCCACACTTCCGGATGGCAGCTTGAGATTTCTTTTGACCCGAGGACCTCGTGGAAGATTACTGCCCCTCATCAGTTCTAGATGTTTCCGAAGCTGTTCACTTTTCAGCGGAACACTGGGTTTTTCCAGCTTCTCGAACTTCTTAATATTACGCTGTACAGTGGAGATGCGACTTTCCTCGGAATTCGGTGATACCTTTCCCTCTGCAGATGGTTTCTCCACGATCTTGTAGACATGGGTTCCCCGGGATATCCAGACGCCATTGTTCCGCTTCACCTGCTCCAAAATTCTCGTGTCCTTCTGGATAATCTCGTTGAACTGGTGGGTTAACTAAACGACATTTAACGAGTAAAATTGGAAAAAATTAAAAACTTTTGGTCTCTTGAGTTTCTATAGTTTCTTTAAGCATTGAAAATTTATATAATCACACAACATTTAAGTACTCAAATAGTTTGAAGTCAAATATTATTTATAAAACTAGTTTCAAAAGCTGTTGCGTTAAAAATAACTATGATATATATATGATATATAAGAAATGGAATGATTTGTTTTGCTTGAAATGCTATCGAAGCTTTTAGAAACATAATGAATTTTCGACTACAATGTTTGCGTTCTTTAATTTTTAAAATAAGAAAAATATATATATTTTAAAAATATACATTTTTGTTATTAGAGTACCTTTTAAAATGGTAAATTTTTGTTTGAAAACCCTTTAAAACTCCCAATTACCTTGGCCACCATGCTGATGCCGCCACCTGAAGCAGTGCCATGTGAGTCCATGTTGCTTAGCCTACGCGTTGGATGATGATGCTGATGATATGATCTTCCAGCATGGGTTTTAAAGCTATATTTGCGACGTCCGCCCGATCGACCCGTCGACGATGATGACGTCAGAGTGTTGTGGGTGGTGGTGGAGGAGGAGGTGGTGGTTTGAAGCGATTCGCTACTGCCGCCACTTTGGGCGCTCGCCGCGCTGAGACTGAGGCCTTCGAGGCGATTGCGCTCCCGTTTGCCTCTGAGTTCCACCTCCAACTCCTCCTCATCCTCCGTTGACCCCCTGCCCACCTTGCCAACCTTATCTGCTGATAAGGTCGCCATACTATACGATTTCACTGCAGGTAAACCGCTGCTGTCGTCACGTTTCGGGCGCGTTTCGCTGGCGTTTAAAAACGCCTCGTCCGCGTTGCTTCTTAACTTGGCCTGCATTTTGGCCTGCTCGGCGTTTTTGTACTTGTAGAAATTGTCCTTTTCCCGCTGCAATTGCTGGTGCTTCGTTTGCGAGTCCTGCAGGTTGTGCAAACTGGCCGCGCGTTTTGCTAGCGATTTTTCCGGCGTGGAACAATCGCGCGAATTGTTAAAGGCGTTGACCAGGCAACTAACGCTTTTGTTTAATTTTTTCAAAGTGCCCAACGAGGTGGGGGCGGCGTTCGAGTGGGCGTGGCAGTGTCCCTGATCCTCGCTGGCACTTTTGATGCGTTTGCTCCACAACAATCGCAGGGTTTGCACACCCCGGAAATCGCGAAACGCCCGCGATTCGCAGCTGCAATTTTGTTGCGGATTTGCCTGGCTATTCGGTTTTCGATTTTGATTCGGATTTGGATTTGGATTATCTTTGCCGGCCTTATCGCACGTCGGCCGATTGTTGTTGTCACTGTCACTATTCACCAGCCAATTGATAATTGTCTTTTTCGTTTTGCGCGGCGTTGTTGCTGCTGCGGTTCGTGTTGCTGTTGCTGCTGCTGCTGCTGCTGCTGCTGTTGGTGCGTTGCCATTGAGATCACGGCCAGCGGCTTTGGCAGCCGCATCCAAGACAGGTGACATCGCCATGGTGATTTGCTCTGATCTCGGCCAGAAATCGATCACGTTCTCGGCCAACCAAGAAGCAGCCGACCAAGATGTTGCTGCTGCAGATGCTGGTGCTGCTGCTGCTGCTGCTGCTGATGATGTTGCTGTTGCCCCCGGGCCTGCAACGACAAAAACAGAGAGTGGAAGAGAAAGCTCGTGAAAATCTTGTTCATGCAAATGCAAATTGGGTGTCAGCCATTATAATTAAAGGCGTGGCACATCTCGGCAATTATGGGTGATAAGCGGGTTTGACTTGTCGCTGCCAATTGGAATTTCAAGGCTTTCCTAGTTTTAAGCATCGGTTTAAGCATGAGAAATTTTACTCACTAGTCCTAGTCCCTTACTAAAAAATATTATAAACGAAAATTTTTGAATTTTACGAATTAGAAGAACCGCCTTGGTACAAATATGCATAATAATCACTATAAAATAAACAAGAAAAAACGCTCGAGTACCTCTATCTTACTCTTTACTCTACGAGTAACAGGTATAAAAATTATTAAAACTCTTTAAGACTCTAAATCAACCGATATTGCTAAGCTATTTATATTTAATAACTAAAGCTCTTCAGACATACGAAATAATTTATAGCTCTTCACATATAATTATCCATAAATATAAATAAAAAGAAAAAAATTCAGTTTTTTTGGGGTTAATGGCAAATTGCTTTAAATGTTAGACTACATTTCTTTTTAATTTGTTTTAACAAAAAAAACACTTTCAAATTTTCAAAAATGAAGCTCTAAGGCAATGGAAACTATTTACCAAGACCAAGAAAATGATTTCATAAAAATCTAAATGAGCCCAGTTACAAAATGCCCAAACCAATTGTTTTATTTTTAAAGGCTAGTTAAAGAATCAAAACACTTGTAATTTTAATTGGGAAATGCTCAAAAACCCACAGCCGTAAAGTCTTTGACAAAATCGTGTAATCTGCCAAAGTATTTTAAGCCTCTTTTCGAATTTTGACTCATATTACCAGCCCAAATGATGAATAGACATTATTTCTATACAATTGTCAAGGAAGCCCGAAGACAAAACAAAGCTTGAGCAAGCGAGAAATCAGTGCGGTGTACAACATTGCGTATGCTTGATACGCCATGAATGCGCTGGCTTATCGCCATGCGATCGAAGTTGGCTGACTGTATGGCTATAAGGCTGTATGACGATATGACCATATGACGATGTGACTATATGGCATTGCACAAACCCACCTGACAATTGTTTACCGCCCTGGAAACCCACCTCCCTTCCGCCCACCGCGTGTTTTTTTTTTTGTCACACACAAATGCCAATTATAATGAGCGATTACATAAAGTCAAAACAATTTCTTCTGCCTCACATGCGGTATCGTAAAATGGCTTTTAAGCGGCTTTTGGTACGTTCGTTAACCGTTTTCATCTGCCGTCTTCTTCTACTTTTTTCTCTTCACACTTTATATTTGTCTGTTTTTTTTTTCTATATCTTTGTAGTTACATTATATATCCATATGTTTTTTTTCTAGTTGTCACATTTGCCTCGCACGCGGCAAGAATAAATAAAATTAATTTTAATTTGCCATTGCAAAAAGGTTTTTAAACAAAATATTATATACGAGCCAAGCATATACACACACGCACCACCAATGTAAATAAAATAGCAAAAACTGCTGATTACGCAAACGAATTTGGCCGACAATAAGTTTTTGTATTACGCTCGGCCAAAAGGAAACTGGTGGCCAAAAGTGTGTTTACATAAAGTGTCTTGTTTATTCAAAATGGAATTTTATTGGCGATTATTTGTCAATTGCAAGGCGGAAAGCAAACCGGCCCCCAAAATGGGGATTACCAGCCGAATCAATGCCAGTTTGCAGCCATGGGTAGCTTTGTACATTTTCAGGTATTTTAAATTATTAATCAAATATTACTTTTGAAAATTATAGGGAAATGTAAAAGTTTATATTTAAAAAACTATTTTGAATTGTTTTTGAACTATAATGATTACAGTCTTATGAGATATTCTTGTAATAAACATATTTAAGTGTCAATTTGCTAATAACTTGTGAAGGGAACTCGGATTTGGGGTGTTGATTTTTAATGGGCATTTCTAATATAATATAAAAACAAACAGCTAACTTATTTTAAAGTCAGTTAAGAACGAGTCCCAAATCTAATGGAATGAGGGAAAAAACCCCTCAGAAACAAAATTCCCCTAATAACGTTTTGCCATAATCAATTAGCTAAGAATCCATCGAAAAACCTGAAGCCACAATTCGCTTGGCTTTCGGTTTTCGCCGCCACATAATGATAATTCCAATGCCTTCTATATAGAGTGGACTCTAAGGCCATTCAAGCTGTGCGGCGGTCAACAGCTTTTTGGCCTGGTCAATACAAATGTTTTGCATATTAAGCAGCCCGAAACCGAAAAGGAAAATATAAACAATTGACAGCGAGACACTTGAACAATATAAAAATCAACCTCATCTTGGGCAGAAGAAAAGACGGAGTGATAAAAAAGAAACTTGATGAGCTGCAGTTTTTTAGGCTAAGCTGCAGCTGCACCTGCCATATATTTATTTATATAAACGAAGATATATGGTATATATCTGTAGGTATGCAAATGGCTTTCAACGGATGCAGCGTTTTGTTTGATTTCTTTTTATTTGCTTTATCACTCTGAACGGCACATAATTTCTGAGGGCGGGACAAAGATTTTCCCAATGCATTGGGAAACCGAAAACCAAAGGTATTGACAGCTGAAGTGAAAGTGATAATGGCTAGCTGACTTTGAGCCAAGAATCTGGCGTTTTGACACGCGGCCAGCCAACTAATCTTGGCTTTTACTTGCGAATGCGGAAGAAGATAACCAATGAAATGGTATGGAAATATTTTAATTTCGTGAAATTAAATCAAATGAAATTTATTGCCATTTTGCATAGAAGAAAAGGCCAAAATAAAACAAAAAACCAGCCGCCATTAGAAATGTGAAAGTTAACTTTTCCTTTTTGCTGCTCTCTGGATTTTTGTTGTTTTTGTTTCGCAGCTAATGAACTGTCTTGACCATGATTTAGAGATGCTGTTGACGGCTGACGAGGTGTTGGAAAAATGTGGGATAATTCTGGGCTTACTGTTTTGGTTGCACAATCGTATTGTTTTGCTATATGCTTGACCACTGGACTCAAGGACCTCAGACTGTCTGAATATTGTTGACTGGTTGTTACTAACCCTTTGTTTTTGTTTTGGCCACGTTGCCGTGGCAAAATCCCACCACCGAACAGCTCTTGCAGCCCTTAGCCAACTGAAAAGTCGGGCTAGCTGGCTAGCAGCGAGCAACCCCCGAACGTTAATACACCACTGCGTATGCTTTATGTATGGTAAACAATGCCCATGGGTCGATAGTTTGCCATATTTTCGAAGGGTAGTTCCTATTTACCACTTATGTGTGTGCCCCCTTGAACGCCTGCATTATTCAAGCTTTGTTGCCTTTCTGGCTGAGTTTAAGTTAAATTTAATTTGCTAAATTGATGCACACACAAGTGACACAATTTGTATATAAGCCCATAATTCCGCTTATCTACCCACTGATTACAGTCTGAGTCATGGGTGTAGGCTTATCGAATAGGAAATTTGATTGACCAAATTTGTGGCCAGTTGGGAACTACACTGTACTAAATGGTTAGAGCAGAAACCCGCATGCAAACGAGCATTAACTGCATTCCAAGCTTCGTTGAACCAAAGATTCGTTGCCTAAGAACCGCAACCGTAGACTGTAGACTGGGTCTACAGATCTTGGCTATAACCGCGTAAGGCACAGAGGCGTATAATTAGCGTGCAGCATTGGCAAAGTGAAGCTAATGGAACCAAACAACACAGAAACATGGCTAACCGTAATTCCGAAACCGTAAGCGTAGAATCCGACATGACATGGAAGAAGAGGTCAGTTCGGAGGCCATTTCAACCGTGTGTGTCAATGTGCGAAAGACCCACCGACCAAGTCGGTGGAGTTAACAGTTAAGTCATGGAGCCAACTGGCCAAAAAGATCGCGTTAATATACGATTATACGATAATAACCAGTTGACAACACTTAAATGCATTCGAATATGCGGAAGAAAAAACGCTAGAAAGCTTTGAAACTATAGTAATTATAATCGTATTCAAAATGTAACCTTTTATTATTATTACTTTCTTAATAAAAATTTATGACTACATTTTAATATCATTAATTTGCATATTTTTATAGGAATGTGACAAGTTTAGTAAACACATTAAATCACTCAAAAACTATTTAAAAGAAATTTGAAGAGAGAATATCCCAACTTCGATGGCTTGCATTCCATTTCATTTTATGAACACAAGTTAAAGATCTAATTTAAAATGGTCCTCTGTTTTGAATCTTTGTGAATCTTTTCTTCGATTAAAACTTTCATTCATTAAAAGAAATACTAATAGAATCAAGTTAGGAACTCCAATTTGTTTTAATTACCATCAAAGTAGGGTTCACTCGATCTAATCCCAACGGAAATCGAAGTTTCAGCCAGGCGATGGAAGATTTGGAGCCTGTTCTTGGTGAAATTTCGCTTCTACCGATTTGGTATTTGGTATGTATGTATGTGGAATTCGCCAAGTGGTTTGGCTAGATTCTTTCAAGAGCACACTAGCACCACGCAGATTTTCTTGTGGGCGTTTCACTTTTGCCAGCTTTCATTTCACTCTGGCCTCAAAAACTAGAACCAATTTGGTGCACTCGATTTCAGCTATTGCACTGCCTTTGGTTTAGCATACAATATGCCATATTGCACATTATCTAAAATATTTATATGGGCGATTCGAGCAGAAAACACAATCAAACACAGAAACACGCGCTGAGGAGTGTCGAGGCGAAAAAAGAAAGGTGCGGCAGCAACTCCAAACGTCTCCAACGACCGACGACCGCAAAGCAACTGACGAGTGTTGCTGCTGTCGTCGACGTTGCTGCTGCTGCCTGGTGTTGCTGTTGGTATTGCTGTTGCTGCTGCTGCTGCTGCTGCCGTCGACGTTGCTGTTGCTGTTGCTGTTGCCAACGCTGTTGATGGCTGCTGTCGATTGCCGTTGACGTCGCCGTTGCCGTCG